ATACTCTCAAGATTTTGCACATGACAAGCTATCAAAAGAAGGCCTCACTCATGCAAATTAAATGTTTGGTCTCAAAAGAATGGCTTGGGTTCAAATTAAGGGTGAGGAGTACCATTTGGGTTAACAAAAGAGTGGTAAAATGGAATAAGATAACCCAAATGTGTATAAGATCCATGATCAAGTATGCAAGTGCCCATATGCATGAGAGATTAAGTTCATTAAGCCAAATTTCAGATTGGAGCTGGTTTTAAGAACAATGTCGATTTAAAGCAAGCAAACATGTTTCAAGAAAAATTTTCAAGGCTCGAAGCGTGTAAGGTTTTCAAGAGATGCTTAAGCTACTTGATATGTCTAACTAGGGTGTCACTTTGAGCTCTTGACAAGTGTTCTTTAAAAGGTGTTTCAAAATAATGGCTACCAATGCATATGAATGCAAGCTATATGCTCTAGACTCTCCTAGAAATGCAAGTGATGCAACCTACATGATTTTTTTTTTGGGTTTTCAAAATTTTCAATTTTTTGGTTTTTCTATGCATATAAGTATGTAATGCATTGCATGAGACTCATGACAAGAAAACTAAACAAAACACAATGTGAGACAATAGACTCTCCCCCAAACTTACTTCACACAGTCCCTTGTGTGAGAGTGAACTTGGAAGAGAGATCAAAAGAGAGATAAAATATGAATGAACTAAATATTTACAAAGCTAAGGATGCACTTACTTGGAGTTAGTGAGAAGGAGGGTCCTTCCCACCTTCAAGAGTGATGGTGGCTCTTGCACTAGATAATGGCTTAGACCTTCCCTTGCATTTTGATCTTGTACTCAATGGCTCCATGAGCAGATTTTGTTGCTCCACTTACCCCCTCCTTTTGAGCACTTCCCAAGTGCTCTACACACAACTCTTGGGAAGACTTGCCAGCAAGATCTTCTTTCTCAGTTACATCCACTTCAGCTTGGGTTTTCTCAATGGATGTGTCTTCAGAAGTGATTGTTCCACAATACCCAGCATCCATTGGGGACTGGATTGGGTAAGAGACAGCCTTGTTCACATTGAGGAGTGTGACCCTCTTGTTTGGAAAGTCAATACATGCTCCCACTGTTGTGAGGAATGGAGTGCCAAGGATCAAAGGAACTCTCTTCTCAGTTGCCATCTTCAGGACT